CCTGATTTTCGATCTCATGTATACGCTCTTTGTCAGAGCTTGATTTTTGGGTCATTTGTTGGAATCATTTTACAGGATTTGATAAACTAAATCTCTCGATCGTAGAATCTGTACTTGTTATTGGTTATCTACTTTTGTTTGATTGAATTTTGTGATTGACACTCGTAATTATGAATATATGCAAACTTCAGGAATCATGGAGCGGCTAACATCTCCTCCTCGTTTGATGATAGTCTCGGATCTTGATCATACTATGGTAAAAAGCCGCCATTTTTATCCTTTGATTGAGCTAATTAACACAAAGGGAAAGGTTTTGTTTTGATTGTGATGTGTGTACACGTTTTTTGGTGTAGGTTGATCATCATGATCCTGAGAATCTCTCTCTTTTGAGGTTCAATTCATTGTGGGAACACGCTTATCGCCATGACTCTCTTCTTGTTTTCTCTACTGGAAGATCACCAACTTTGTACAAAGAATTGAGAAAAGAGAAACCTTTGTTGACCCCTGATATTACCATTATGTCTGTAGGAACCGAGATTACGTATGGTAACTCTATGGTTCCTGATCATGGTTGGGTTGAAACTTTGAACAATAAATGGGATTTGGGTATTGTCAAAGAAGAAACAAGCAAGTTCCCTGAGTTAAAGCTTCAGGCGGAAACTGAGCAGAGGCCGCATAAGGTTAGCTTTTATGTCGACAAGAGTAAGGCTCATACAGTGACAAAGGAGTTATCACAGCGGTTGGAGAAACGCGGTGTAAGATTTGCTTTGATAATGTTATATTGTAGCAACTGCAGTTTACAGTTTTTTCTTTGAGGTTTTGTTAATTTAAGAAATTGTGTATGGTGGTGACTGTTTCAGTTGGATGTCAAGCTCATTTACAGTGGAGGCATGGATTTGGATATTTTACCACAAGGTGCCGGAAAGGGACAAGCGCTTGCATTTCTGCTCAAGAAGCTAAAGACTGAAGGGAAACTACCTGTTAATACTCTTGCTTGTGGTGACTCTGGGAACGATGCTGAACTGTTTAGTATTCCCGATGTTTATGGCGTCATGGTTGGTTTCTGTTCAAACATGGCTCGCTATCTCTCTGAATTATATTTCATTTTTCGATGTTGAAATCTGTTGTTTCTTTCCCAGGTAAGCAATGCTCAAGAAGAGCTGTTGAAGTGGCACGCTGAAAATGCGAAAGACAACCCAAAGGTAATCCATGCAAAGGAGAGGTGTGCGGGTGGGATTATACAAGCCATCGGTGAGTTCAAGCTTGGTCCAAACCTTTCTCCAAGAGATGTCTCTGACTTCTTAGAGTGCAAGGCGGAGAATGTGAACCCGGGTCACGAGGTTGTGAAGTTTTTCTTGTTCTACGAGAGATGGAGACGGGGTGAGGTTGAGAACTGCGAGGCATACACAGCGAGCCTCAAAGCTTCATGTGTGAGTAATAATATTACAGAATTTAGATGATATATTGACGAAGTAGGATCTGACTATACAATAATTCCTTGTGTGTATTCAGCACCCAAGTGGTGTGTTTGTCCATCCATCTGGTGCTGAAAAGACTCTGAGAGATACCATTGATGAGCTGCGCAAGTACCATGGAGATAAACAAGGGAAGAAGTTTCGGGTTTGGGTAGATCAAGTCCTTGCAACAGAAACAACTCCTGGGACATGGATAGTAAAGCTTGATAAATGGGAACAGAGTGGTAAGAGCCTTATTGCCTAAAACTGCAAAAACCCACGAAAATGTTTTAACACCATTTCCTCTTGCAGGAGATGAACGGAGAGGCTGCACAACGACTGTGAAATTCACCTCAAAGGTATGAGATTTGTGTAATAAGAGAGTAGCTAGCGCGTGGAGTTTTGTTTTGTTGATGATGGTATCTTGTAGGAAGGGGAAGGGTTGGTGTGGGAACATGTACAGCAAACATGGTCCGAGGAATCGAAGGTGAAGAATGATAGCAGCTGGATCATCTAAAATCACCTCATCACTCTGCAGATTTAGAGCAGTTGTTCCATTTCTCCTCGTATACCATAAATCGTTGGAACTTCCGGATCCAACAAAACATGGTTTTTAATAAAAACTTGGATCTCAGAACTCCTCTTTCAGTGTATTGCTTTACATCTTTACATCTCCAGCTTAACTCTGCGTTGTACCGTTGCTTATACATTGACATGCCACACTTGCTAAACAAAATCCAAGTATAAACGGGCCATAATCCTTGTATAATATATAAAATCGGAAGTTGAAAAGAAGAAACTAAAACAGATACAACATCATATGGACTTGTAGAATACCTTATGGGGAAAACTGAAAGATGTATGTTGATGGAATAAAGAAGACAAGGGACATTTTACATAGAACCATAATGTAATGGACATTAGCAACTGCTATGAAATATTATAGAAGTACAAAAATCTCGTTTTATAAATTTCAAAGCTGCTCAATAACGAAAGAAACAAAAACTATAAATAATAGTGCTCCAAATCTAGCATGCTAGGGTTTCAACCGACCTAGAAGGAAGCAAAAAGCGAGAGAGAGAGTCTTTGGAAATACGACAAGAAAAAAAGTGTAAGCCAGTAGCAACATCCACCCAAAATTTGGATTTGTCATGAA